GTCTCCGCCCTCCCACCCACGCCCGCACCTGAGGGTCTCCGCCCTCCCACCCACGCTCACACCTGAGGGTCTCCGCCCTCCCACCCACGCCCACACCTGAGGGTCTCCGCCCTCCCACCCACGCTCACACCTGAGGGTCTCCACCCTCCCACCCACGCTCACACCTGAGGGTCTCCACCCTCCCACCCTGGCCCACACTGGAGCTCCTTGCAGAGAACTGAATCTCTGGGGCTGAAGAAGGACAAGTCTTGCCGGTGGGGAACCCGCTGGACAGGAAAGCACCCACAGGGCCTCATTGTTCGGGAGACAACAGCGCAACCAAGCTGGGGGTGGGGAGGGGCTCCCACAGCCCCCCACAGCCCCCCACAGCCCCCCATAGCCCCTGGCACCCGCTTCTGTCCCTCTAGCCTGGGGACGGAGCACACAGCCACTCCGTGCCCACAACCAGAGACAGGAGCCTCCAGGGGTGCCAAGGCCGCCCGAGACTGGCGGGCTCCTCCGAGGGGAGCAGGTGTCCGGGACACACAGGAAAGGGATAACAAAAACCCTTTGCCTGTGGGGGAATGGTGGGGGCTCATCAGGGTTTGTTGAATGAATTAGTGACCTGAACCCAAACTGCAAGGCTATTCTCCTAAGCTGTGTGCTGGGGCAGAAGGGCGCTATGAGGGAGACCCCTGCGGGGGCCGTCGACCCCCCTTTGCTGGATGTGGGCGAGGCGCCGCCCGCCACACTCACACGGCCCCATTCAGCACGGCCAGGTGGCGGGTGAGGTAGATGGCGTCGTCCTTGATGGTCAGCAGGATGGACTCCACGTGGGGGGGCGCCCCGGCCTGGCCCGGGCCCCGCTTCAGGTGCACGGCGAACTCCTTGTAGGAGCCTCTGCAGTCGGAGGCAAAGTTGTAGTCGCAGAGGCCGGGGAAGCGGAAGACGTCGCCGTCGAAGGTCTTGTAGTGGAAGTCGCCCCAAGCGCTGCAGACGCTGTGGCCGTGGTCTCGGGCTCTGCCCTCTGAGGGAGCAGCGGGGGGCGAGGGGTGAGTGGTGCCGGCCGGGGAAGGCTGCCCACGATGCCCTTGGGAGGGGGGCTCCACGGGAGACCTGGAAGCAGCTTCGAGCCCAGCGAAGGCCCCGGCCAGGACAGGTCGCCCCACCCCGGGGGTCTCAGGCCTTCTACCCCCGCCTCACCCAGCGAGGAGTGAGGCTGGGTGCCAAGCAGGGTGTAGGGGAGGGAGTCTGGGCACCCCGGTGAGGGCTATGCAGCCTCCACCCTCCCGGGGTCTCTGCCATCTGAGAAGGGGGCCTCCTGGTGGGGTCCTGGCCACCCTTCCCTCCCCGACAGACAATGACCCAGCTCACTGGGGCATGGGCTGCTGTTTCCGCCTGGTGCTGGCCTGGGGACCCACAGTGTTGTTGGGCAGTCAACCCCAGAGGAATGGCAGGGAACCCCGTCCTTCCAGCCCCAGGAAAGTCAGCAGTGCTGGGGGCTGCAGAGGGCCCACCAGGCCCAGAGCCTCAGCTGAGACACCCAGACTGCTAGGAGACACTCGGGGCCACCTCCACCTCCCAGGTGCGACTAACCTGCCCCGCAGCCCTGGCCCCAGGACACGCTGCCCTCTCACCTGTCTGGAGCTCGGAGCCCCCGGCCACGGACAGGGCCAGGCAGACAGCTGCCAGGCGGGCTAGTGGCAGCCCCATGGTGGCTGGGAGGGGCGGTGTGGGTTGCGCCCGGGCACAGGGGTCCCGGCCTTATATGCCCCAGCAGGAGTGGGAGGGCGGGAAGGTAGAGGAGGGCCAAGGGGTGGGTGTGGCGTTTGCCAGATGATCAAGAAGACAGCTGTGGGGGCCCGAGCCGTGGGGAAATGTTGGTTCAGGTTATCGGAGGTCATCTCTTTATGGCTTCCCGGGTAAACGCAGCCTTCTTCAGGAAGCGGCAGCCCTGCAGCCCGAATGCCAACACACACCCAGGGAACACGTCCAGCTACGAGCGGGATGAGCCCAGCGTGGCTGGGGGAGGGGCGTCCTGCCAGAAGAATGTCTGGTCAGGCTCCGTAGCCCCCCACGGTTCCCCAGGCCCCCGCCGAGCCGGTCCCAGGTCTGATCAGGCTCATGTTACCCTGGGAAGACCAAGCCCTTTCTGGGGCCCAAGCCCTGCGGCAGCTTCCAGGCCTGACCCAGAAAGGGGCCTCCCCGAGGACAGGGAGGATGTGGGATCCTTTGGGGTCCGGGGGGGCCCACCAACTTGCATGGGACGTTTGGCGGGGCTCACAGAGCCGTGTCAGAGGCCCCAGCACCCCCACCACCCTCTAAGCCCATCCTTTTCCCAGGCTGAGCCAGTCTCTGGAATCACATGTAATTGGAACTTGAGGGGTACCCACCCAGCCAGGGGAAACGTTACAGAATCCGGCACGTGGGGAGCCAGCTGGTGGCCGGAAGTGGCCATCTGTCCCTTCTCCTGGGGACCTCAGGGCTGAAGGCTGAGAGGGGAACAGCCTGCCCATGCTCCCCAGCGCCACCTCTCACTCGGGGTGGGGGTCAGGCCCCTGAGGCTTGGGCCTCTGATGAGTCTCAGTCTCACCCGCCGAGCCCAGCAGGTGTGTGGAAAAGCCTGGAGAACCGGAGCTCACAGCGACACAAACCGTGAGACCACTGGGCACACCAGTGCTCGCCCCAGCCCAGGAGAACACAGGCAGGTGTCGCCAGTGGGTAAACTGAGGTCTGGGAGCCCTCCCCCCCTCTACATTTTTCTCCTCCTGAAAATAGAGCCCGGCCCTGAGTTGGGTTTATGGCTTTGGCCCAAGGGGAGGGGGACGTGCTGGCAGCATGATGGCCGTGGAGAGGGCTCACCCCAACAGTTATGGAGACTCGGGGCCCGAGGCACCAAGCCTCTTTCCCTGGCTGACCTGCTTCTCGGACCAGGCTCCCCCAAAGAGGCGGTGACCCCCTGGAGCTGGAGCCCTCACCTGGGCTGAGCCAGGTCGGGGAGGCTTGCCAGCCCTCCAGGTGCACCTCCCACTCAGGGCTCACAGGGGTCCCCGCCCTGCAGAGACGTCAGGGACGAGGGTGGCGAGGAGCCGGGGCCTGGGAAGAAGCCCCTCCTGGCCCCCTGCAGTGCCCACCAGCACCAGGCCCCGAGTCTGCACTCCCTGCCAGGACCTGGGCACGTAGGGGAAGCTGAGTGTATGGCCCCGGCCAGCAGGACCAGGGATTAGGAAACTGGAGCCCACGGGGCCAGGCCAGAGGGGACCATTGTCCACCTCCCTGTTTGGCCTCCGCACACTGGCACTGAGCCCTGGGAAAACCCAAGGACGGCCCCAACTTTGGCCCCCACCCCCCAAGGGGCCTCAGGGCAGATTTTCCAGGCCCGGCTCCCTGCCTTGGGGGGAGCACAGGCTGCCCAGCACAGCCCCTCCTGCCCTGAGGCGTGAGGTGCCCTGACCCTGTGTCCCCTCTGGGCGGACGGTGGTGGTGCTCAGACTCAGGGGTCTGACCCTAACACCCCTCTCGGCCTGTGGCCAGGTCCCAGGTGAGAGCCCTGTCTGAGCTCACGGGCAGCCCTCTGAGGGGCGGGGTGCGAAGAGCTGAGGCCCATTCCTGACAGGGAAAGGGAGCTGGGGAAGACAGCGGCAAGGGGTCCATCAAGCTGGGTCACTGGAGTCACTGGCACCCCACAGCGAGAGTGTCCCCAACGTCTTCGACTCCCAGCCTCGGCCGGTCCCCAGCATCTCCCTTGGTCGTGGAGGCGATGGGGGCTGGGCAGGTGGGCAGGGTGGGAGAGTGGACAGCCGCACTGCCCGGGGACCCCGTCACCACCCTGTGGCTTTCCCATGGGGCTCAAGGGGCCCCAGTGGCGGGAGAGAGTGGGGGCTGCCTGTCGGTTCTGCTTTCTGTGTCAAGGACGTGCCGGCCACCCAGCGGCGAGCCGGCTGCCGTGGAGCCAGGAGCCCCACGTCAGGCTGCCGTAGCCTCAGGCCCGGCTGGGACTCAGAGCCGGGGCCACGTGGAGCTCAGACCCCCACTCAGACAACATCCTGGCCTCCTGACCTCTCCCCGCCCCACCCACACCCGGCGTGTTTACCCTGATGAGACGCTGTCGCCAAGGCCAGCACGGAATTCAGTCGTGACTGCAGGGAGGAGGCAGCACGGACGTCACACCGCGCCTGGAGTGATGCCCCCTCCCCACTGTGTATCCACAAACCTGACTCACCAGGAAGCCCGGGTGAGGGGTACCCGGCTAATTCAGGAGTCAGAGCCACCCAAGGAGGAGGGAGAAGGGAAAGGAAAAGGAGAAGGAGGAAGGGGAGGAGGAAGAGGAGGCTGCGGAGGGAGGGGAGCAGAGGGAACCTCTGCGCTGCTGGGGGAGCAGAAGACAGCAGGCGCGTCCCCCGCCAAGTCCAGTGGCTCACCCGTGGCTTGGGCAGTGGCTGTGAGTCTGCCTGGCGGGCCACAGCTCCCGTCTCCAGCTGGGCGCTGGGCTGGATGCTGCTGTGAAGGGATTTCTCAAATGTGACCCTGGTGAGGAGGGCGGGCCTCACAATCCGCAGAGGCCCTCGAGGAAAGGACGGATGTCCTCCACGGAACACGGCGAGCGGCCTCCTGCTGGCCTCCAGGGTCTCCAGCCGGCGGCCCCCACCCCGCATGAGCCAGCTCCCTAGAGTAACCCCACGGCCTGCTGGCTGTTTCCCTGCAGAACACCAGTGCTCCCCGTGTGACCAAACCCTCCCGCGGGGGGGTGGGAGACCGGCACGGAGCCTGGTTTCCCGGAGAGCACCCCACCCACCCACACCGCAGCTCCCTGCACCCCCCGCTGCAGCCCCTCCCCCCACGGCCTGTGTTGGTCCATTTCAGTTCAGTGGTCACTGAAATGTCGGCCTTCAGCAAGTGCAGGCCACCCACTCCTCAGCCACGTGTCATCTGGGGCCATTTTCCCATGATCCCCCCCATGTGGAAGTTCTGATTATCAGCCCACATTACAGAAGGGGAAACTGAGTCACTGGACATCTTGT